AGTCTAGAGGGTATTTAAGACTTCTTCATCTCAATTGGAAAATAAATTGGCTTCAGGATATATGAATTAGGTTTCTTATATTGGAATTACATTGTTTTCTTCTTTTGATATCCAGGATGCTATAATATGCGCAGATGACTTCTTCAAATTTCTATGCAAATGGATATTGGACAAATGTTCAACAGATTTGAACTTATTAACAAAACGAACAGACAAGACCATTATCAGTCGTCTTCAATCTCTGATGGCAAATTCTAGTGAAAAAATCACCTATACAGAAGCAGTGGATAGTTTAAGAAAGGTAAGCAACACAACCTTTGTATGTAATTGATTAGAAAACACACCTAATTTTACTTATCTGGCAATTTCTCTCCTAAAAAATTTTCACTTCTTGCCAACTAGGTCTCAGATAAAGAATTTGAAACAAAACTTCAGTGGGGTGTTGCTTTAACTGCAGAACATTTAAGGAAGTATTAAGTTGGAGATGCCACATGAGAACATCCTAAACCACAGGAAGTGAGGGTTCCTGATCTTGTTGGATCTTACTCACTATTTACTCAGTGGCAGTTACTTGGCTGATGAGATGTATAAGAAGCCTATAATCATCTACAGTTATCCAAAAGCATTGAAACCATTTTATGTGCGCTTGAATGATGATGGAAATACAGTTGCAGCATTTGAAATGGTTCTACCCAAGGTAAGCCAAAGTCTTTCTGAAGATCAAATGGATCTTAAAATAAAATGTGCTGGATAAAATTTAAGTGGATAATTTAGAATAGCAATTTAGCTAAATGGCATAACTCTCCAGGTTGAAAAACTGATTAGACGCAGCCAAAATGAGAAACGTGTCAATATGCTCAATGCAAGGTAATTCACTCTATGCTTTTCTTCTTTTATCATCCTTTGTAGTTGGTCAATTAGACCTAATTTGATTTTTTTTCTTTTTTAATTAGCTAGCCAATTGATCAAATTTTAGGCTCCAACAACCCTTGTGACTGTGGTGGAAGTTATGAATGAAAATCCTAGATATACTATCTTTCTTTTCTTTTTTCCTTTTTTTTTTTTTTTGTTTAATTTTACTTCATCACTATGGTTGTATGAGCTACATCTTCTAGCTGCATCATGGTAAGTAATTTTGGTGGTTGATAGAGAATTCAAATTGCATGTGCTTTGTAAACAAGGCCTGGAGAATGGATATGGCTGACCTTTAGCTCAATTGACTTCTATGCTCTACTGAAATTATTCAAATTTATTGATGCGTATCAGATGACATAAAACTGAAAATATGTAGACCATGATATTGCTGCTAATAGCTGAAACTCTTCTGAATCTGAGATACGACCCTTATGCTTCTAATATTGTGTCTTCAGGATTAAGGAATTGGACCTACCAAGAGATCAATACAAATGGTATCTAGATCTACGTAAGCATGGTACAGTCAAGCACTCTGGATTCAGCCTAGCATTGACCTCATGGTTCTCGTTACAATTGGCCTAACAGATGTTAGAGATACAATCCCATTCCCAAGAAGTAATGGCAAAGAGATCAACTAATTAACTCAAAAAATAGACATGGCCTATGTTCAAACTGCTTTCCATTTCCAATGGAATGAAAATTTTATGTAAACATACGGGAATGCAACCTGATACAACACCTTATATCTAGAAATTAAGTTCTTGATCATAAATACACATTGATGTAATTACCAAAATTCATGAATGAGATGAAATTGTTTGTGAATTGATGAAAGGCATTTTATATACTTTAATTTATTATTTTAGCCTTGATTTTGTTACTATTTCATAAACAAGATTCGATTTTAAATAGATTTTATATAATTTTCATTGTTTATGCAAAAAAAAAAAACTTGAATACATAATAATAAGAGTTTTTGAGATTAATTGAATATCTTTTGAAAGTTGAGGGATTGAATTGTGAGAAGAAAGGTTCTTTTAAGATCTATATGAATGAATCCGAAGACATGGGATCAAAGTGCACATTTTATAAAAGATGGAGGAGCAGATCTGATATTTTACCATTAAAAAATTACAGAGGCCGACACGGGAATGGTGTCGACCGACCATGTGGTATCAGCACCATGCGCTAAGCCTTCGAAAAACAGCGCAGCATGAAACAAACAAAAGTGTTAACACCTAAACTAGACATCAAACGCACGTCCAGCATTAGAAATTTTCAGTTTTTTATCCAGGATCCTATTTTTTTTCTAATAAGTTTTTTAAACTCTATAAATATTCGTTCAAAAATCAGATATTAAAGCTTTTGGGTGACATTAAGAGACAGATGACTAAAAGAAAATCAACATCAAAAGAAGATTAAGAATTAATATTTTATATCATTAAACGGATTTTACTTGTTTTTTAATTTTATTTTATAATATCAAATATTTTTATGTTTATAATAGGATATTTAATTTTCTTATCTTTTAGATAAACTAATTTATCTAATTAAGATTACAATATGGTCTAATCAAATTAATATAGAATTTCATAATTTTTATAATTTTAAAACTTATAATTTCATGTAGAATATATATTATTATTTTTAATCATTTTTAATGATTGATTATTATTAAAATTAATTTGGAAAGTATAATTAAAATTCAGAGGAGATTTTATACAATAATTTCTAATAAAATATATCATAAATTGAATAAAAGTCAGAAATAAATTAATGTAATTTGTATAGTATTAGTGATGAAAGAATTTAATTTTTTACCTAAACTAAAAAATTTTACATAATATAATGTATTTTTATATATCTATTTATATTCATATAAATATATAATGAGTTAATAGGTGAATAAAATTGATATACATTAAAAAAATATATCAAATATAATTAAAAATCTCATTTTTACATGAGTAGTAAATATTTTATCATTATATTAATCGAAATTTTATATTAATCGATTATAGTAAAATCTGATACCTTAAAATTTTAACTTTTGATATTATTTAAAATCAATTTAATTTTTCTTTAATTAATTTAGTTAATTCATTCATTCAAATTATTTAATTTTAACTATTCAAATAAAATTCAAATTAATTTTGATACTTAATTAGTTTACAATTTTTAAGAGATAATATTTAGTTTTATCATTAAATTATTTAAATTGACTAATGCTCTTATTAAAATGAGATTAGCTCATCATGAATAATGTAGAAAAACTCATTTGAGATATATAGCATTCTGCTTTTCAAATCTATGGATACAAAACCATCACCTCTGAAGTTACAGGTGAAGTATTATTTGAATCTATTGGGAAGAAAAATGGATAGAGCTCATACCGGACATAACAACTACTATACAGGACGCGGCATCCTTTGCGGTTGTTGCAGAAGTTTGGGAAATTCCCAACTGCAATAGCCAAGCACTGAGCACAATCTATCTGAGACAGATCCCTAGTGCATTGTACCAATGCATAAAGGGTCACAAATGGTGAAAGTTTAGTCTTGCCTTTCCCAAGCCCTTCATTCTCAGGCATCACAGCTTCAGATCTAATTTTATCCATCAGATCTCCAAGTTGACGATTGAAGTCTTCAGGATTGGTAACATTGTCAACATTATAGTAGAATATACCAAAAGATGTGTCAACTTCTCCTATAAAATTTACTTTGTTATACCGTAGAAAGCAGAAGTCATACCATATCCTTGCATCAGCCTGGTTAGGACAACGTTCACGGATTTGCTTTGCCGCGCATCTTGTATGCAACTGTAACAGTCTTTACTGCTTACATCTCCTCTGCACTGAGCCAGGCCATAGACTTTATCAGGATCATTCCCGTAGGAGGTAGCAATATACGCAGTTGAGGCAGCTTTTGTGACCACTTCAGCCAACAAATTATCAATGTTTGCAGATATCTTGCTATTGCTACCTATGTTGGTGTCCTCGTTGCAGAACTGCCCCAAAGGATCTGCTGCCCTGCAAATGCACAGAAATAGTAAGGGAAGAAGGCTGTATAACAATTTCATTTTTGGTTGCTATTGAGTATTGAGTTGAAGCATTCAAGCTTTTATTAATGGTCCTGTGGAGGATGGGACGACTGCAGACATTGCTGAATATTGACTGCTTGTTCTAAGATACGACCACAATGAGTGGAAGAAAACAAGGGCATTATTTCTAGAAAGTCTTTCCCAAGTTTTGTGTTTTTTTTCTTAGCTTTATCATGATAATTATATCTAAAAAGAAAGTTATGAGTTAGTTGATAAT